GGAATTAACACAGTTCCTGAGGAAGGAGCTTCCTGCTGCTTCCAGGAAGTTGTATGTTCTGTGATGCCAAGAGATGTGACAGAGCTGAGTAGAAATGGCAAAAGAAAGAGGCTGAACATGTAGGCAGGAGCCACGGCAGGAGCCAGGCAGTCTCTGTAGAAACTACCCTTTTTCGTGTGTCTCTTAAGTTATCCATCTGTAGATTGAGCATGATATAACTATGGGGTCATATATTTGAAGTAAGTGTCATCCAGAAAGAAATGACTAACTACACTGTGATCTGAGCAAACTTGATTTCCCAGAGTGGACATTTTCCTTCCATTTCAGGCGTGCATGAGAAATACTTGAATCATCTTCATTTTTTTTCCAAAATTAATTTTTCAGAAAAAAATGTTACCCGTATTGTTTTTTTCTTGTTCTTTCTTTCCTTACACACACACACACACACACACACACACACACACACACACACACACACCATTCATATTTTGGAAGCTGTCTTCAAAGTAAGTACTAGATATAGAAGTGCTAGATAAATAATTAAATTACTGAACACATGGGTAAGATGTTTAGAGGAATATGTTAAACATTGTCAGACTAACTCCTTTTCTTATAAGCTATTCAACTTTGCATTCCCACATCATTGTTATGAATACTTTTTATTGCTATTGAGATTTAAAATTTTTTTCAAATCAAATGACAAAGTATATCTGTATTTCTGTTTTTATGCTTTTAATATACATTGTTCTTTCCCTAGTATTTCCAAGCTTTCATTCTAATCATTAATTTTTCTGATAGGCATACTTAAAGCTGTTAATTTCTTCTAATTTCTACTTTAAATACACCAGAACTTCTATTAACTAGTATTTTTTTATCATTTTAAATAAATTCTATCATTTTAGTAGGTAATTTTTCTCTTCTCCCAGATGCTACTTAATAGGCTTGTCATTTCTAGGTTTTCCCATTTTAATTTTATTTCTAGTTATTGCATTGTGGCAAAGTATTGTCATTGTTCCCTGTATGCAACTTATTGATTCATTCCTTGTGATCTAATACATACTCAAAACCTGTGAGTTCCTGTGTGTTTGAGAATATGTAACTTCAATCGTCAGAAGCTACTTATCTTGTATTTAGTTCTTTTCCATTCTTTTTTGTTTTTAGTACATTTGACCTGTCTTGAATTGATTACTTTCTATTTCTTTTTTGGTGGGGGTGGGGTGCCATATCTGGTGGTGCTCGGGGGACCACATACAGTGCCTGGGATTGAAGATGTGGCAACCACAAGCAGGTTAAGCACCTGAACCCCTGTTCTAGCTCTCCAGCCCCAATATAATTCTATTTGTTTTCTGCTGCATCTTGAACAGATAGATTCTTCTTTATAAATATGTAAATTCCTTCAGTCCTTTGGAATTTACGGTCTGTAATTTTGACCTGTTGGTTGTCTTTTAACTTACACAATTTAATGTTCCTAGTCCCTGTTTCTTATCTAACCTTTCATATCTCATTGATAGATTTTCAGTAGTTCAGTGATTCCCAATTTAAATAATACTCAGTGAATAAAGTTTTCAGCTTTTTTTCTATCTCTTCCCATTTCAGTTGCCTTATTTTTATTTTGTCATATAAAAATTGTATATATGTTTTAACCCTTTCTCTACCTTTGTCTTACTCCTCAAGTTGATAATTATGTTAAAAACTAACCCAAACTTTTTACTGTTTTTTCTGTGAATTCTTAAATGAAGCATAACCCAGCAAAGTGTCCAAGAAGAGTTAATGTATATAGTACTCTCTCTGCCTCCTCACATTTCAAGCCTGTTTTTCTCTAGTCTCACTACTTGAAAAAGGAAAGGCTGGATAGAAGATCGTTGATTCATACTTTAATTTCTGATTTAGAATGATTTTCACATCCTCTACTGCTCCAATAAGAACACTAACTTTACTTTGCTTTGATGTGTGATATTCCCTTTACTTTATGCTTATTTTGGCAGGTATTTTTTGAAGACAATGGATTTTATACTCTTATTATTTGTATTTTGCAACAATTCCATGTACATTTTGGCTGTATTTATTAATTTCCTGAATTTGAAGTATTCGTAAAACTTCTTGTTCCAGTGTATCATTTTCATTAATAAACCCAGTATATTTTCTATTTCCTCTTTTTAGTTTGTTTGGGAGGGGTGGTTATGTGCTTTTGCAATTTTTCTGTTTCTTTTTTGTTTTATAGGCCTTGAAATTCACCTACTGTGTGCCCGCCTGTTCTTTGTTCTTCCTTTTATTCTTCATCATGCAATTCCTTTTATTAAAAACAATTATTGAAGTATTATAGCTTAAAATGATTTTTTTAATTAGCTTCAAGGTCATGTTGTAGAAGCTGGGTTTGTTTTTTTTAATTGAATTACCATGAGCTACACTTACAAAACTCTCATATTTGAGTTTCAGTCATACAAAGATTGAACACCCATCCCTCTACCAGTGTACCTTTTCCACCACCAGTGTTCCCAGTATCCCTCCCCCCTTCCCACCATTCCACCCCTACCCCTGCCTCTATGGCAGACAATTTCCCTCTTACTCTCTCTCTACTTTTGGGCATTAAGGTTTGCAGTACAGATACTGAGAGGTCATCATGTTTAGTCATTTATTTACTTTCACTACACATTTCCCATCCCGAGCAATTTCTCTAACCATCATTGACTTAGTGATCCCTTCTCTATCCCAGCTGCCTTCTTCCCCAGCTCATAAGGCAGGCTTGCAACCATGGAGCAATCTTCCTGGCCCTTGTCTCTACTGTCCTTGGGTGTTAGTCTCATATTATGATATTTTATATTCCACAAATGTGTATAGTCATTTTATATCTGTCCCTCTCTTTCTGACTCATTTCATTCAGAATGATACTCTCCATGTCCATCCAATTATAAGCAAATTTCATGACTTCATCTTTCCTAACAGCTGCATAGTATTCTATTGTGTAGATGTACCTAATTATTTAACCAGTCATCTATTCTCAGGCATTTGGGTTGTATTCAGATTCTGGCTATTTTGAACAGTGCTACAATGAACATACAGGTGCAGATGTCATTTCTACTGTGCTTTTTTGCACCCTCAGGATATATTCCCAGAAGTGGTACTGATGGGTCAAATGTGAGCTCAATTTCTAGTTTTTGAAGGAATGCCCATATTGTTTTCCAGAAAGGTTGGACAAGTCAGAATTCCCACAAACAATGAAAGAGAGTTCCTTTCTTCTCACATCCGTGCCAGCACTGGTAGATTAAACTGATATTAAAGTTATTATTTTATAATTGCAGATCACTATACCAGTGATAGCAGGTCCTCCACTATTACCCCCACAGTCTTTTCCCTCTCCTCTCCACACCCTCAGTTCCCAGTTCTATTGATCGTGTCTCAGGATTTATTTACACTGGGAATGTCTAATCCTTTTTTTGTTTCTTTTATCCTCTGCATATGAGCAGGATCATTTGGCATTTATTTTTTGCTTTCTCATACTTCAGTCAGCATGACTCCCTCCAGTTCCATTCAGATCGCAACAAACTATAAGATTGTATCTTTTCTTATAGCTGAATAGTATTCCATTGTTATTACTCAATCTCTAAAAGGTATTTCTCTCCCTTTGATCATTTTCTCTCTGAAGCAATGTCTTTTAAAGTCTGCAAAGTTAGTTCCTACACACTTCTAAGTTTTCCCCTCGTCATCAGCCCTGAGATCACTGGACCATCATAATATTTTATACTCTAGGTTAGCATTCTTTGTCAATGACTTCAAATCCATCCTTCCTGCCTTCCTTCCTTCCTGCCTTCCTTCCTTCACTTATTTCTTCTTGCCTTCATTCCTTCCTTCCTTCATTCCTTCCCTTCTTTCTTCTTGCCTTCTTGCCTGCCTGCCTGCCTGCCTGCCTGCCTTCCTTCCTTCCTTCCTTCCTTCCTTCCTCCCTCCCTCCCTCCCTCCCTCTCTTCTTCCTTCCTTCCTTCCTTCCTTCCTTCCTTCCTTCCTTCCTTCCTTCCTTCCTTCCTCTACACCATTTTCCCAGGGCCTTTGCCCAAAGTGAGACCTACAGCTCTACTGGGATTTGGCACTAACATTTTTTTAAACTTACAGGCCTTTTGAAGAGTATATATAAAATGTTTTGTCCTCTAGTTATATTGAGGATGTGTTTTTTGTGTAGCTATACTTACTGCTGATCTATATGGCTCTGTGTGTAACTCATTGTATTAAACCAGGCCATCTCTTTCTGATTTGTACTTGGGCATTACTGGGAAAAAAATGTTTTCTGTGGGACTATAGTCATGTTGGTGAGGTAGAAAGTTTGGAGAGAAAGTTGTTGCATTCATTGTATGCCAAGAAAAGCTCTCAAAGGCAGACTTAAAACTTTTACAACCTAGAACTTTTAGAACTTTTTAAAATTTAGACCCTTTTAGCACAAGAACAAAAAAAATCAAAGAAATAGAAATAAGAATTTGAGTCAAAGAGTTAAATTGCATGTATATTTCCATTTTATACTGAATGACAAAGAGTAGAAAATTAAAATTTCTTACTGAGCATTGCCCATTACATTAAAATACTTTTGAACTTATCATTCACACAGTAACTCTATAAGTAGTAAAAGTTTTATCACAGAACTATTCTTACTTTTGACAGAGTATTAAGACTCAGGGAAATACTTCCTTGAGTTCTGATTTCTAGAGGTGACTTGAATAAAGCCAGAGGTAGAACACAAGCCCCCACATGGTGCATTTACAGCCTCAGTTGTGCCTCCTCATCAATGTCTTTGCTCATTTAAAACTCTTTCTGAATTTTTGTTACAATGCAATCATAACCTAGGACCTCTCCTTAGTAGGAGAAATGGCATCCTCAATATAACCTCACATTACTGGGGGGGAAACTGTGTTCAATTTTAAAATTAATTTGTCTTGTAAACATACATGAAGTTGCTTTTCAACAAGTAAGAAATGTTTTCTCCACTAATATTTGTTGTTCCTCTCTGTTCACAGAGGACAGTTATGGGATGGATGGGAAGGTTAATCTGCCTGATCTCACAGCAGATGTCAACTGGCAAGGCCTGGAGGATTTATACAGTGTAAATGAAAGTGTCTATGCGTACAGACAAGACTATAGACTTAGTCTGGGTGACTGGACTAATTACTTGAAGGATGTAGATAGAGTATTTGCACTGCTGACCAGTCACGATGAGCAAAGGAAAGCTAATGAGAGTGAGGGGTTCCTGGCTGAACCTCCCAAGGTCCCAGTGCCAGGAGAGTTGGCCTCCCCTGAGTCAGATGAAGAAGACCTGATGCATCTGGTTAGGAAAGCACCCCATTCGTCTTGGCCAACTGACCTGCAAACCCTGCATTTGAACAAACCAACATTCAGTCCAGACAGCACACTTGAATGGAACAATGACATTCCAGAAGTCAGTCGCCTGAATTCTGAACACTGGAGAAATCACAAAACTGAACAATGGATGGAGCAGAAAGAGATGAATCATCTGGAAACCGATTTTAGTGGCAATGGCCTGATGGAGCCCGTGCTCCCACCTGGCCCGAGACTGCAGCCCCTGAGCAGGCACCGAAAAGAATACACCCAGCATGGTGGTTTAGAAGAACAGGCTTTCCAAGATCAGCTGCATCTTCCTGTGTATTCTGGGGTTGAGTCTATTCATCCTGTGACCGAAGCGCCCATCAGGAAGCAGCCCAGTAACTCCAGCAGTGTGAAGCAGATGATGAGTGAGGTGGGAGGGAATCGCACGGCAGAGGGCTTCCTGGGTGCCGAAGGCAGCGCCTCTCTCCCATTCGCCTCCGATTAGATGGCATTGTCACCCTATCTTGCACACAGTATTTTTTTAAACTTCTGATTAATAAACCAATAGAACGAATCATGACAACCAACATTCCAGGCTACCCTAGTTACCTGTGTAGAGTAGAACGTGTGCATGGGAATAGCACGCACACGAGACTCGGTGTTGTAGCTCACTGTTGGTCAAGAGTAGAAAAAGAGGTCAATTTGTACTTGTTTCTTTGTTGGGGATAGGGGGGGCATACTAAAAACAGTATTATCTTTCAGAGGTTCTAGGGCGATGCATATAAAAAAGTTATCCAGTCCCGATGGCTAGCTTTATGCCTTTAAGGAGTGTCTGAAATTTGACGTCTAAGTCTTTCTCTACCCTTTCCACTGCCTGAGAAATGTGGTTTTGATTTCAACCACCGGAATTTCTCAGTGGCATCATTTGGGGGTCAAAGTTTTTGCTCTTTGAGACCAGAATGCCATTTCTATTTGATTAATCTTTTTTTAAAGGAAGGAAGAAAGAAAGAAAGAAAGAAAGAAAGAAAGAAAGAAAGAAAGAAAGAAAGAAATCAGATTTGTCAGTCTCACTGATTGCTATCAGTGTGACAGAGTTAAAGAGACCCCCACGAATGACACACAGTATGAATCCCCATATTGTTAAATGTAAAACTTTTTGCCAGAAAATAGTGCATGTGTTTTACCTTGACTTGCTAAAATCAATTAGCAGAAAGGCCTGGCTAAAGGTGTTGGCAGTACAAATAAATGAAAAACAAAGATTGCCTGCTTTCTCTGTCCTGACCTCAAAATGTTCATCATATACTTAAGATTGATCATTTTTTTTATTATTTTCTTAACAGGATAGAAGGACTGAAGCTCTTTTATAATCTTTGTTTTGCTTTCTTAACCTGGCTCATAAGCTTAAGTGTTGAGAAGATAAGTTTAGTTTAGAATTTATAGAATGAAATTTTTTCAATAAAACAAACTCATAATGTTTCATAACAAACACACTGTATGTGTTAAAAGATTATTTTAAGGCCTTCACCAAGTGCTGGTTTTTTAAAGGCATGATTTAAAACAGCTTTGAAAATCTGTTTTCTTGAAAATGTATTTGTTATGTATTAGGTGTTTCAATACCAGCAAAAGGATTACCTCACTGAGTGTTATCAGTAGCCTAATCAACTTCCCAAGAAGGTTATATTTTTTTTTAGCTTAACCACAATTTTTTTTTATTTTTAGATAAATCAAATACATAGGTAAATTATGTTGTTTTCTTTAAGTGTTTATGGTAAACTCTTTTAAAGAAAATTTGATATTACAGTTGAATCTTTGATAACTTTAAGTCTATCATAGACTGTACATATGTTGAAATTAACTAGTTCTATATCAGATGTGTGTGTCACCAATTGAATGGCAGAAGAAACATATTTATGGTCATGAATGGTGTACTTTGTAAAAAGGTCTCAAGTTACTGGGAAGCATACCTTTTTTTAATCTTGTGTAATAATCTGTGATACTTTTATAGAACAATTCTGGCTTCAGGAAAGTCTAGAAGCAATATTTCTTGAAATAAAGATGTTTAAACTTTACCTGCTTCAGAGAAATGGTCTTAACCAAGTTTTCATGACATACCTATTCCTTGCATGTAGAGTTAAGTTCTGATATTGGTTTTTTGAGTGAATATCAGTCATATTGGTAATATTAGCACCAAATCAGTGTGTCTAGAACAATCCAACATTAATGATTTCAACATAGATTTGCCTCATTGCTGTCAAAAAGCATATGGCAGGAAAAACGCTAGAGTCGTTTCCAGATCTGCTGCTTATACAGCCTCACAGGACCAGTACTTCATTGAATTTTTTGCTGCTGCCATCTTGAAATTATTCATAATCTTTAAACAAGGGATCTTGTGCTATCATTTTTCAGTGAACCCACAAATTACGTAGTGGTCCAGGGAAGGCAGTATAAATGGAGTTTTTCAAAAGCAAAGGAACAAAGCACCCAAGGGCAGTTTGAGTTCTTTGGGAAACTGTTTCACTTGATTGTCTGCATCAGGTCTCCTGAGTTTTCTCCCCTTCAAAAAGAAGGGTAACAGCCTGAACTGTCAATAATGCAAGGGCAGGGATCAGCGGTGTGCAAAGGACTTTTGGCCCCTGCCAATTCAATCCTTGGATCATTGAGGAAACCTTCTAAGTTAGCTAAGACTCTCATAACAAAAGGCTGGAGCGATAGCACAGCGGGTAGGGTGTCTGCCTTGCACGCAGCCAACATGGCCGACCCGAGTTCAATTCCTCTGCCCCTCTCGGAGAGCCCGGCAAGCTACCGAGAGTATTCGATATGCCAGACACAGTAACAACAAAGTCTCCAATGGAGACGTTACTGGGCCCACTCGAGCAAATCGATGATCAACGGGAAGGCCTTTACCTTTACCTTTACCTTTACCTTTACCTTTACCTCATAACAAAATGCTTCAGACTGGATAGCACAAACATTTTAAACTGATTTTCTGAGTTTTGGTGGCTGCAGTCCAAAATACTAGTGTTGATGGGTTTAGATTCTCCTGTCTCTTCTAGGCTGGCAGATGGCTTTCTTTTTTCATTGTCACCTGTAGCCTATTCTCTGTGTATTGGTGACACTTGGCACCCCAAAGACACCAGTCTTATTGGAAGTCTCCATTAAAACCACATGGAAGCTTCGTTAGCTTTTACAAAGATCCTATTTCACATAGAGTCACATTAAAAGTTATAGCCTCTCTAGGAGTTGAGTAGCCCATTTCCATCAACAGCAGTGCCACCAAGAAAAGAATATTGTCCAAAGATGTATCTCTGCCTTCCTTCTCAGCTTTTTGCCATGGCACGCGACTATGTCAAATCCTGGAGGAAAATTCTTTTTAGTTTGTCACTATGGGCTGGAGAGATAGCACCAAGGTTAAAACCTTTGCCTTGCATGCAGCTGACCCAGGTGGGATCTCTAGCACTGCATGTGGTCCCTTGAGCAATCCCAGGAGGGATCCCTGTGCAGATAGCCAGAACTAAGCTTGTACTGATGGTGGGATCAGTGCTGGAGCACTGTATGTCTAAAACTCAACAACAAATAACTTTGAAAACCATAGTGTTTTAATAAGCACTGTAGTACTGTCCTCCCGTTGTTCATTGATTTGCTCGAGCGGGCCCAGTAACGTCTCCATTGTGAGACTTGTTGTTACTATGTTTGGCATATTGAATACATCATGAGTAACTTGCCAGGCTTTGCCCTGAGGGGTGAGATACTCTCGGTAGCTTGCTGGGTTCTCTGAGAGGGGCGGAGGAATTGAACCCGGGTCGGCTGAGTCGGCTGCATGCAAGGCAAACGCCCTACCTGCTGTGCTATCACTCCAACCTGTTTTAATAAGAAAAATGAATTATCTGAGAGGGGGAAAAGTAAGCCTGGTATAGCAGGTATAGTCCCTAAACCAAAAATAAAACAGTAATAGTAACTTCTTAGGGAGTACCTACTATGTGCAAAGTGCATGAGAGATTTTCAGAGCCGGAAGTCATTCCCCTAGTGACGAGTCAAGGGACCTTATTTTTGTGTACAGAAGCTGATGCCCAGAAGGAACTGTGCTGGTGTGCTGAGGGTCGTTCCACCCCATTTAGAAAAGGGAAATTTATCGAAGACGAGGGCAACATCCTATCCACTGCCTCCATTTAAACATGTGTGTATTGTGCACACAACAGATCAGGGAAAAGAAAGAACATCAAGGGTTCCCATTTGGTAAAAAGCAGATGAGTTCAACTGGTATTTTGCAAGACTGATAAAGAGTTAGAGTCAAGATCTTTGATTGATAAAAGCCCCTCCCATTGTTCATCGATTTGCTCGAGCGGGCCCAGTAACGTCTCCATTGGAGATTTTGTTGTTACTGTGTTTGGCATATCACATACATCACAGGTGGCTTGCCAGGCTCTGCCATGCGGGCGAGATACTCTCAGTAGCTTGCCGGGCTCTCCAAGAGGGGCGGAGGAATCGAACTCGGGTCGGCCATGTTGGCTGTGTGCAAGGCAAACGCCCTACCGCTGTGCTATCGCTCCAGCCCATGGTTTGTGATAGCAAAGGAACCTCTGGTTCCTTTCCACCCTCAGTCCACCTTCTCTTTTTTTAAATTTTATTTTTGCAAAGTTGTTCACAATAATTTATTACATTTAATATTCCAACACCAGTCCCACCACCATTAAACTTCCCCACCACCATGTTTCAACCTGCCCCCAAAAGCCTGCCCCAAAGCAGGATCTAAATAATTTATTTGTATTGCTTGTTATGAATAATCTGCTAAAAATGATCCCAAAAAGTTTCCTTCAAATGTGGTGTGCTACTCTTGGTACATCAGTGGTATACAATATAAGATGTCATGTGGTCACACACTCTAGGAATTCTAAAATTTTATTTCTTTTTTTTTCTTTTTTTTGTTTTTTATTTATTTATTGAATCACCATGAGAACAGTCACAAAGCCTTTCAGTTCAAGTCTCGGTCTGTCTTACAATGACCAAACACCCATCCCTTCACCAGTGCACATTTTCCACCACCAAGAACTCCATATACCCCTCTCCCACCCACCTCCTGCTTGTGTGGCAGATTTCCACTTTACTCTCTCTCTCTCTCTCTCTCTCTCTCTCTCTCTCTCTCTCTCTCTCTCTCTCCCTGTTGATCACATTCAATATTATGACAAAAGACCCAACATTGTTTTTTGGAATTTTCCCCAACATTCAGACCTGCCACAAAGACATCATTAGATAATTTGTTTTCTATTGATGATTATGAAGAGCATATGATTGTGTGGCCATAATATCAACCAAGCGAATTTGGATTTCTGATATTTTAGTAATAAACCTAGAGGGATTACTGCTAGAAGCCCTTGGGATCCATGATTAGTATGTGTGCCTCTGGGTTCATGGTCGGTCAGAAGCCAGAGGAGGCATTTGAAGGTGGCAACCCGGAGCATTGTCATGGTGGGGTAAAGGTAAGGTAAAGGTAAAGGCCCTCCCGTTGATCGTCGATTTGCTCGAGCGGGCCCAGTAACGTCTCCATTGGAGACTTTGTTGTTACTGTGTCTGGCATATCGAATACTCTCGGTAGCTTGCCGGGCTCATGGTGGGGAGCAGGGCCAATTCTACCCCCATCCCATGAAGGCCCACTTGCCTCGTCAATGCTGTCTCATACCTAGCTGTTCATTAGGCTCTAAAAGATGCAGGCCACCATGCCACTGCCACAAAGAGGGACAGGCGGAGGGACAGACAGACACCCTTCCCCTCCCAGGGTAGCATAGCACCATAGTTAAATACACAGTCCAGATGCATTTCAGTTGGGCATTATATTTTGCTCAGATTTTCCCACCACCATTCAAGCCTGTTTTTCAGGGAAAAACGCTAAGGAATTCTAAAATTTTAAATATAGTTATATATCTGAGGTTAGTTTAATTTTTTTTATAACTGGATGTTGACTTTGGGGTCAGAGGCATCTCTGTGACATGTTATTCTGCGTTGTTCTCTTCCAAAAGATTTGTGAGTCTCTAGATTATGCCATAGCACAGCGGGTAGGGCGTCTGCCTTGCACGCAGCCAACATGGCCGACCCGAGTTCGATTCCTCCGCCCCTCTCGGAGAGCCCGGCAAGCTACCAAGAGTAGTCGATATGCCAGACACAGTAACAACAAAGTCTCCAATGGAGACGTTACTGGGCCCGCTCGAGCAAATCGACGATCAACGGGAGGGCCTTTACCTTTACCTAGATTATGCCATTAATGAACTTATATGACACCAGAGGCAGTTTGTGGGCATAACTGCCAGGCTACCAGAAGCACAGGGAGATGGGGGGGGTGGGGTGGAAGTCGCCCACTCCTGGCTCTGTGTGAGTCTGGAGATTTCAGTCCCACATACCTGCCTGGTCCACCTTCTTAATTTTTTTCTTTCAGTTTGATTATTGTAGTTTGGCTCCCATACTTACTGGTGTCTCCATAGTTATATAATATATATATTATATATTATATATATATATATCACTTCTCTACACCATAGTGTGTCCGAGGTCCCTGACACTTAACCTTATACCTCCAATCTGCCTACTATTGTTTCTCTGGTCTTTTCATTTTGATCATCTGGGGTCAAGGGGCTTCCCCACTATTGTTACCTTGTCATATTATTCTTTTCCTCTTTTTGGCTCACACCCAGAGATGCTTAGAGATTACTTCTGGGCTCAGCATTCAGGGATCACTGCAGGCAGTGCTCAGGGGACCATATGGAATGCTGGGGATCACAGCCAGGTCTGCCTTGTGCAAGGCAAATGCCTACCCACTGTACTATCACTATAGCCTGTCATATTTTTTCTATATACCACAGATGAAAGAGATCATTTGATATGTGCCCCTCTTCTGACTTACTTTGCTTAACAAGATATCTTCCACTTCCATCCAAATTGTAATGAATCGTGTGATTTCCTCATTCCTTGCAACTGCATAGTACTCCGTTATATGTCTATAGTACATTTTTATTATCTACTCACTGGACACCTGGGTTGAATTCATATCCTAGCTATTGTACTGAGTGCTGCAATGAATAAT